CTAACGAATTTCATACATTTTTTGAAATTTATGAACCTCTGTTTAAGTTTCTTTTTTCTTTTTACTTTTTAGGACTTGATGGATTTATGTTTTTTATTAGACAATTAAGCTGCAGTCACATTCATAACGTGTTTAAGTCCAAAACCACAAGTCTTTCTTGTGTTAGAACTCTTCTCCTTTCCAAATACGGATTTTAAAATGAGCCCACGTAAGAGGCAACGTTTCAGCTTTCTGAAGCTATGCCTGGTTATTTTGTATCATAAAAAATAACCAGGATTTTTCTTGTCCCTTTCAGAAATGTGTTTAAAGAAAGCAATTTGGCTTTGTCACTGTCTACTCAGTCTAAAGCACATATTAAAAACAAGCTTCAGAAAGCAGAAGGCATAGCTTCAGCTTCCTGGTGTTCTGTTCGGCTGTGGTACTTTCTTGGAGGAGGGCGTCTGCTGATACACTACCAAACATTGTCCATGTCCTCCTATTAACTTTTTGCTTTTCAGTGATATAACGAATACTCCTACAGCAGCTCTTCTGTTTCTTTTGTGTAAATCTGTTCTGTCTTCTCAAACTCCCAGTTGGACGTGGCAGATGACTGCTCATATTGAGTCGGGTTCTGCTGGAGGTTTCTTCCTGTTGAAGGGGAGTTTTTCCTCTCCACTGTCACCACATGAATGCTCAGTATGAAGGACTCCTGTAACGTCGAGTGATTGTCTGCCGGTGCTGTGTTCTCATCCAGGAGGAGTGAATGCTGTGAGATGCAATCTAATGGGTTTCCTTGGATACAAAACTTTTTAAGCTAATCTGAATAATAAACTGATCTTAATTCACTGGAATGTATGTAGATGGTAAATGGACTGAAATTGTATAATTTTCACCACTCAAAGCACTTCACACTAGAGTCTCATTCTCCCACACATTTATACACCAATAGAAAGATCGGTAGGCAACTTGAGGTTAAGTGCCTTGCCTAGGGGCACGTCGACAAGTGGAATTTGAAATCGATCCTACACCTTTTGATCACAAGACAACTATTTTACCCACAGAGCCATAGTCGCCCCCAGGTGTGGCTGATTTGAAATGAGTGTTTTTTGTTTTGTTTTTTTATTCCACTATGTGCTATAACTAAAATGAAATGAATCGATTGTGTTACATAAAAAATAACCAGGATACGTCTTGTCCCTTTCTGAAATCTGTTTGAAGAAATAAATTTGGGTTTGTTACTGCGTACTCAGTCTAAAGTACATATTAAAAATCAATCTTCTTTGGCTGTCTCCTGTGCTTTCACTCCTTGCTTTCATAAATAAAATTAAATATGCTCTTTCATATAAGTTACATGCAGCTTTATAACTGCTGTGTGGCTCCCTACATGCACTGTCCACCCAAAGTTCCCATTTGAGATTCACCAGTTGCCTCATTCTCAGACTTTTAACTCTGTATCTCACGATTGTCTGTACTCAAGCACTCATGCAGATATTTAATATTCACCACATCCCGGTCTCCTCCTCCTTCTTTTTTTAATAGCTCTGTTCTTGGCAGTTTTTATGGCCTGCCCCCTCGGTTACAGTATCCCTTCTGGAATTTTGGCCTCCTTTCAAAAATCCTAAATCAACTACAGGCTGCCACAGCAGCAGCCTGGGCCCCCTTTGCTCCATCACCCCACATTTTGACCCCAGGGAAAAAAAAAAAAAAAAAAAGTTTGAGACTGACTTGTTACCCTTTGAAGGTTTTGAACTTAAGTTTCTTCAGTTATTTTTTATTGCCTCCCTCTATGTAAATTACGAAAATTTTAGGATCATTTATTTTGTTGCACTTTCTGATGAAGCAGCTGACAGCTTTTAATCAATATTTGCTGTGCTAATAGGAATGCACAACTTTAAGATCTCGTACTTCAGCAAAATATATATTTTTTTAACCTGAAAAATGCCTGCATAAAGCACGCTGTTTTAAAGACAATGTTCTGATATTGCTGTGAATGTGTAAAGTTGCCACAAAACCTATTTTATCCCAACTCAACACCCCATTTTTCAAAAACTAACACATTTTTTTTACTCCACAAATAGATTTAATCTATATTCTTGCTTTATTTATTTTTTTGTGCTTCTAAAGAAAAAAAATGAAAACATCTACAGTGAATCTTTTAAGACTAAAACTAAGCCTTATTTTAACAGTCAAATATAATTAAATTATGAGTTAAGACTCCAAATGTAATTTTTTCTTTTTTTTTTTAAATTAAACTGTCAGCATTATGTAAAATTGACTTTGTCCAGAAGCCAGTTAAAACTTTGTTAAAGGTTTAATGGAGAAACGTTGTGATGACTTCCTGGAGACTGAAAGAGCAGGAGCTTCTTAAAGGGACAGAGTTCCAATTTCAAGGTGTTAAATTGCAAAGTCAAATTTTTTAGAGTCATGTTTTACATATAAAATATTTCATAACAACCGAAGGTAACATAGTTACTTGGTCGTGATATAAAATTGTGCTACGATTCTGGAAAACACATAATACTGCCCCTGGAAGCTTCTCCTTTACTGCAAAAAGGCTGCTAAATATATCCACTTGGATTTGTAATGCTATAAAATGCTATAATAAAGCACAGTGTGGCCTCTGTTTATGGATGTACTAAAAACAGGAATGTCTGAAAAAAAAATCAGTATTTTAAATCAAAAATCTCCCCTTCTGCTTTTGCAGTTTGTTTCATTTGTGCAAAATCAAACTCTTTTGCAGAAGTATTTCCAGGAGCCCAAGGCTTATGTCCTCTTTTCACCCGAGTCCCATTGGTGTCCCTTCACCTTTGAATGACCTCCTGTCTCGTTTACTTGTCTGATTCGTCAGTTATCCTCTTGTATCCAACATGTTCATCTGTTTTGTACACTCAGATCAACAAGTGGGCCTTTTGATCACTTTACTGGAGTGTGAAGCTAAGCTCTTGTCAGCACAAGGATTCCTTCTCCGAGCTTTCATGTGGGTTTGTGTTCTTCAGATTTCACATGTACCGAGATCTTCAGCAGGAATCTATTTTTTTCACCCACATATGTGTGATGTTATTCTGACGAGCTCTGCTACACATTAGTCCTGTGATTTACAGAGTTTGGTTGGCATGTCCTCCCTGAGATGTCTCACTGGCTCATTCGTCTTTGGTCGTCTGTTGTATCTGGTCTGGCTTAGATTTCCAGCCTTGATGGCTGGTTTGCAATAGAACATGTGCGTAGCTGATGATCACAAACATCCTTCCAGGGTTCCTACACAGTCTGGAAAAATAGCCACAAGTGTTATCTGAACTTTAGTCTCACTCTCGCTGTCCAGAAGTTGTATGATTTCCATCAGTCATTCCTTAAAATATGGAATTTTTACACAAAAATCCAAATTAATTTCATTTATAAAGCCCATTTTGAAGCAAAGTTCTGGGCAGTACAAAAGCAAATCAAAACAACAAATATGAGAAATGTGTTGGAACCTTCGAGCAGCTGCTTGTGTCATAATAAAGGCTGAAACCGTCTTTTTTCCACATCGCCTTTTTGTACCTGTGAACATGTAAATGCACACTGTACTCATCAATATTCAAAGACATGAGATGGTGCAGTCAACGTGAAGACAAAGACCACAGAGTTTCTGATTATCATCTTTACAAAAGGGGACTGTGTCCCAGCCAAGCTTTCATTAAGTTTTACACAAAGGCATCAAACACATCTTCACAGAGGGGACTGAACAGTGTTTTGGTCGATCGTGTGTGGCTTAAAGAGCTTTGGACATCAACTTTTCTGTCGACACGTCCTTTGTTCCATTGAAGTGATGCCAGTCTTTGTTCTCGATTGGTAAAGCTGTCTTGTCTCATTCATCAACCCCCTTCTGTTAGCCATCAGTGTACAGTGAGTGTGAACTACAGGCTCAGTTTGTTGTGGTCTATCGGGAAGGCCAATCACGGCCAACAGAAATTTTATTTTATTTTATTTTTCAACTTGTTAAAGCCTTAGTATTTTAACACACAGTGTTGTTTAGAGATTTTTAAAAAAAATTTAGTTTTTACTTCTTTTTAATTCTGGAATGTACTCTTCATTTGTTAAGGATTGAACATTTTCTACGGTTATTTCCAGCCGAGAAATCACAAAATTCAATGCATTTTATTTTATGCGATTGTCCAACATACCAAGTATTACAAAGTGAAAGAAAAATGATAAATGGTTTTACAAAACCAAGGCCTGCTAATCATTTAATCTAGCTTGGAAAAGAGAGTTTGAATGTTTAGCTTATTATACTTTGCAGAGATAGCACAAGTTCTTTCATATTGTTATTGGAGAGCATCTGTGAAAGCCTGTTGAATTTTGGGCAGAAGCATTGTAAAACGAAAACGCTTTAATCCAAACCATTCCATTAAAACTCTGGCTGCTTGTTTAGGGCTGTCATCGGGTTTTCTTCAACGCGACCCTGCATCAAACCTTTCCACAGCGCTATCCTTAACCTTTCTGGATTGTTTCCTTGATTTTATGATGTCTGTTCACTCATCTTCTGTGCCAAAGCATGTATTTGCAATATTATTACTCAGTTAAATTTTTTCTGTGAGTTTTTGTTTCTTGGACTATAAATTCCACTTACATGTATACATGTGTTGCAAAAACATGTGATTGATGTGAGCACATGGCATTTAAAATGTAATACCTACGTTATATTGCTTTCCAGCAGCCTTTTATTTATTGCTCACATTGATATTGCCATAACGACTGCGGTTCAAAACATTTTGCAGCTTGAACAAATGTAGCGTCTTTCATAAAGGCTTAGCGTTACACATAAACAAAATGAGAATTCAGCAGGAGATGAGGCACAAAGGCCTGTTACGGCACGCTGGGAGTGGTTGCATCAGGCAGTTCGAAGTGCTTTAGCTCTTCTGACACCCTGTGTTTTAAATACATCTCAGTGCCAGCAACCACAGAATGTCCTCCAGGGCTATTGTTGTTTTAAACATTTGTGTTTGAACAGTAGCCTGTATTTTAAAAATCTCCTTTTTCTCCAGGAGTTGCTACAAGCCTGAGTCACGTTGACATTCCTCATCTGGCAACTTTGGATGAATCCATCCCTTCTTCCTTCAGATTCTGACTTTTGTGAGCATTTCAAGGTGTGACTGAGTAAGTTAGAGTATCATTGAAAAGTATACCCAATGGACTCCAGCTTTTTTAGTTATGGCCTTTTGTGTTTTACCTTCCTTCTCAAAAGTGTCATTGACTGCCTGCTGATCAGCTTTCTGGTCAGCAGTTTTCTCTTTGATTGTAAAGCCCAGCAGTCTACAGCCTACAGCTGTGAAGCCACAAGTGGCTCATTAGATGTTCCTCAGTAGCTCCACCAAAATGCTAAAGGTTCTTGACCGCTGCTATACGGCTTCAGCAAATTGATGACAGAGGAAGTTATTTCAATCAAAATGACCTTTATGACGTAAGATTTTTAAAAGGGTCTAAGACAATCATTAAAATGGAAGTAAATGCTTAGAATGCATCACTGTCTGTCATGATTCTGTAGATTTTTTTTGCAGTGATCTGTATCTGTTCACGAAACATTAAATTCCATCACTCAATAAGGCATCTTATGTGGAAATAGTGGCAGCTAACAAAATGGGTTTCCTGTTTATCGCAGGTTTGATCACAGATCATATAGCTGTCACGGCTCCAGTTTTTCTGAATGCAAAACACTTGAGTACAGCTACTGGGCACGGATTGGCTCCCTGTTTGAGACACCTGACCCAACCAAAACATGGGAGCTCATATGTTGAGCCATCAATTATGCATGACCTCCGTGGCGTCAGGTTTTCTGTAAAAGGGGAGCTCTTTAAGCCTTTTTTTTCTTTTCTTGTCACTCTAGTCACCCTGTGACTCTGATAGCGCTCTCTTTTTTGCCTACAGCAAAGGTCAAACTCTATTGGCCATGTAATCTAGAGACACTACTGGTTGTTTCCCATAACTTAAAGCTATATCATATATTTATTTAAACATTTGAAAAATATTTTTTTCTGTGATGTTACTTCTGCAGGTGTTGCATAAATCCCTGAGGAAAGAAAAAAAAAACCTTGATCTACAGTAGTGGCTACATGTCTGAGCAGGATGTGGTTTGCTGGTCACTGGAGTCACACTGTATGTATAACATTGGAATTCCGTGGCAGCCGGCTTTGTTGTAGATCCGGTTTTTAAAAAGCAGCAGCAGCACATGTACACAATTGGAGTATCTGTCTGAGCGACGAGTCAGGCGACGAGACTGCCAGTACTGACAGTCCTCCTGCGGCCTCTCAGAGACCCATCTGTACTCCGGCCAGAGTCTACTCAGCTGTTATTGAGCTTATTTGGTGAGCTGATTGGGTAGCTGGGAGGACTAAGGGGGGTGGGATTGGGTTGAATTGGCTTGAACTGGTGTCCATTTCAAAGATAGTCCAGGTCAGCTGTGATCGTTTAGCTGCTGAGCCTTTATCCCTCTGCTATTGTGTAACAGAGTTTCCAGCAGCTGTGAGAACAGAAAGAGACGGTTCATGTATTGGACATGAATGGATGTATATTTATCGCTCTTCTCTGATTTAGCTGTGTTAACTTATTATAAGATTCTTCCAACATTGTTTCTAGTAGCTTAACACAATAAATATGACAGTTGTAGCCCATGTCCTAGATGCTTCTGTGTGAAGTCTCCTGATAGACTGACTCAAACTTCAAATCCACGTCTTGTTAATATCTTTCAAACTTTGGACTTTTCTTAACAAACTTTTCAAAGTTGCAGCTGTACCTGTTGGTTGTGTTGCTTTTACTTCCAAAATATTTACCTTCCACCAAACTTTTCAATAGCAACTTGGATACAGTCTGAATAACCAGTTTCTGTTGCAACTCACTTTTATGACATGCCAGTTGAAGGATCTCAATGATTGTCAGCTGGACATCTTTCAAGCTGTCATTTCCACATCCCCATTGTGTAGGACATGGCATTAATTTAATATTTTTGAATAATAAAAAAAATCTGTTGTGTTAATAAGTGTTATATATTTTTATTTTATTTAACTTATCAGCTTGAGACTCGGATGTCTTAAGTTGGGGAACAAAGTCTATTTTTTCATCCTTAGAAAGGAAACCTGGGATATTTCAACAAATGTCATATTTCAATTATCTGAACCTTATGATAATAAGCCCAGTGGTTGGGCGTTAGGGCAGTCATTCATGCAGCGGCCCATTGTGTTATTGAGTTTAAAAAATGTTTAAAGCTGACAGGAAATTTGAAAATATAATTTGGTAGTTATGTGAAGAAACTATAAAGTCTTAAAAAATGCAAACATTTAAAAAAATAAACTTAAATGAATAAGCAATACTTAGCCTGGTGGGGGCACAATTAAAGTCTGGTGGCCCATCAAGCTTATAACACACTGGGAAATCCTGGATAAAATTTTGAGGGTTGTCGAAGGTGGAACTAAGAAATGTGTAAGTGATGTACCTGACAGTTTATTGTAAAAACATGGGTCATGCATGCTTTAGATTGTTTTTTTCAAAGATCCACAGGACTGTTTGTTTTTCAAGACATAAATTAAGTAAGGAGGACTGGCCAGAATTGATACAACCTAATTTAAGTTAAATTCAATAACTCCCCCACTTCAAACTCCTGTGCTTTTTCTTGTTCTTTATGTGGTGCAGCTTAAACATGGTAAACTCTGGGGGACAGTAATGCATCGACCGTACTGCCAAAATCCTAACTTTATGTGAGCTCAAGGAATTCTTTGATCTCTCTTTAGATTGTCTCACAGTCCATTACAGAAACCAAAAAAAAAAAAAAAAAAATAGAAATCCAGTGTAAATATAAAGAATATGTGGACTGAAACCCTATCTGATCTTCAGGCAGCTCTGCCTGGTGACTTCCTCACTATGCAGAGGCAAATCAAGCAAGAACAAATGGCCTCATCACAGATGATCTTCCTGCTCAACTCTGATCTGAGTCTGGATTAATGATCCCTCTGCTGCTGCACATGCAGTGTCATGAGTTGGAATATAATGTTCAATACATTGCTTATGCTTTAGGGTAAGACTTAAATCTAAAGTCAAGCAGAGGGAAAGGGTGTGTCTGCACTGTGGATTGCTTCACATAACTGATATGTTCAAGATGTAGAAAAAATACGCTGAGGTATGGGAACGTTCTGCTGCGTAAGATGTCGACGGGGGCAAGTCCTGAACACCTGTGCAACATTCCAAAGGTAGGACTAATCAGGGTCATGTACACCTGAGCCAAACTGAATCTTTCTTAGCTATTAAAGCTGGCTGGGTCACATAAAGGGTACGAGACTTAACAGGACCTCTTACTGTTGCCAACAAATCAAAGCAGTTTGGGAAATGAGTGCAATGTAATACCTAGCAATTATTTTGTTAGGATTTTATGTAACAAGTCTATGCAAAGAAATATTTAGTTGTGAAGAATCTCTCTGTCAGCTTTGTAGAAACAAATATTCTTTCCCATTCTCCATTGGGGGAAAAAAAAGATTTGCATCTGATTGGATGAAGAGTGTTGGTGAACATCAATTTTCAAAGATTAGGATTCTCTATTGCACTTAAGTCTGTGCTTTGATTGGGTTGTTGTCCTGCTGTTCTTCTACAACTATCCTGCTGAAGAAAGGTATTTCCTCTCCCATGTGTCATGGTGGAGATTGTTTGTCAAATTTGTCAGTGTAAATTTCTTATCAGACACTATTTTTTTATGAGACCAAAATATATATATATATATATTTTAACTTGGATCAGTTTTGCTGCTCTGGTCCTGTTTGTCCCAGCTGTGGTTTGAACATTGTTTCTCAGGTTCCGGGTGAAGAGGTGTTTACTTGCCTCCATTTGCTGACTTATAAAGATCAACACATCTCTTGACCATTTCAAGGTATTTTCTCTGGTCTTTCTCCTTTTGTAAGACTGGTGAGAAAAACTCAATATTCCCAAACACTTGGTGAACACTGGTGAACACTTGGGACAAGTGTTTGGGAATATTGTAAAGTTTGCATTTGCTTAAGTTGTAATTGGGTCTTACAAATTGTTGTGGCATTACAGCAGTCAAACTCTTGTTATAATTGATGATCAGCTTTTGTATGATTCCACTGGTAATTTACTGATTTTGATGATGAATTCCAAGTTTTTTGGATAGGGAGGCCTCATTGCAATCACCCTAATCTTTGGCTCCCACTCCAGACTTTCTATCAGTATCATGTCACGACTGTAGCTGGACCATTCCAAAGGTTAATACTTTTTCCCGTCAGAAGAAACATCCATCCATGCGCACACGCACAGAGTGTTATGTCTAACACACCATTCTCAAAGAAACCGCCTGAAAATCAAAAGCTAAAGGAAACATTAATAGAACAAGCAAGCATGTGCTATCTTGGCTTTGATGCACAGCGGGTCCAATTCTTTTTTTTTTTTTTTTTTGGAATGTCTTATTTCACTTTAAGTCAGAGATGTTTTCTTTTGTAACCCTTGAGTACATTCTGTTCGCGCATTCATTGAGTTCAACAATATGCTTAGTTGTGTTCCTCATTCCTGTTTGTCGAGTGTAATTGTATTTGCAAAGACCGCGGTGGCGTGAGGAAACATAAAAGAGAGTAGCTTTGAAGAGCATTTTCTTGCTCCACTGTACTTGTTTATGTGGTTAGAATTAAAAATGTACGAATGGAGAGTAGTATTTATTCTCTAATTGATATTGTATTAACTAGATGAGATGGATCGTCTCATTTAATCAAAAGTGGAACCAACTTTCACTTTCTTCTGGCTTTAGACTTACTGTACATTGCAAGTGAACCAGGCTCTTTTGCTTCTGTCTGCTCTTTCAGCACAATAGAAAAAGTGAAATACCGAACTGATCAATGGGTTGTCACTACCAGAGAAGCAGTTAACTTCCCCATCCTTAAAGCCAGGTGTAGCCTGTTATTTTTTCCCCCACCAGTGGGGGACTAGTCATACCTCCCACCCACTCATCATGTATCTTCTCCAAAGACATTAAGGAAATAGCTGGCTGGCTCCTGCAGCATTCTGGGTTATGTTAATGATATGGCTGTACAAAGGCACTGCCTGCTTTAATTATGGAAGAGTGTTAGGCTCCTGGCTTCTGCTCCCCTTTCCGTTTCTTTGATATTTCT